CTGAGATCCTCAGGCTGCGAGGCTCCCGAGCCCCTTCGAAAACTTCTCATCAGAATCGGAACCCTGAAGCCGCCTGAAGCCTTGGTCCATGTTTTTGACCGGAACATACCCTGAGTTGTCTTTCTGAACTCTCTGTCCAGCAACTACGGGAGGCCACGTCACCCTTAGTCTCCCGAGCTTTGTCGCTCCTGGCGCTTCCTTGTCTCGGCTGCAGTGCGAAGGAGGCCCGCCGCCTGCCGTTTCAGAGCTTTGAAGCAGTTCTGGAGTTCGTTTGTAACCCTCGAGAAAAACAGCTTAGGAAAGTCAGCCTTTACGCTCTGAGCTCTTGAATGTGCGCACCTCCAGCGCGCACCCATCGCGGAGGAGTAGCAGGCCTGCAGATTTTGCACAAGAGCCTCCTGGGTATGTGGAGCGCCCAGTCGGGGATTTCCCGATAGCTGGCGACACTCCCTCCACTTTTTGGCGTTCAAGCGCAAGAGATGGTCTTTTAGATCTGCCGTATGCTGTTGGTGTCTTCTAGATGATGTAGTTGGGTGCATCGAGACGGCCGGCAGGGTTCTCCGATGACCGGAAAAACGCCCAAACCAGATAGCCTCTTCGCACTCCGTTTATACACTGCTGCTTGACCTTTGAAAACTCTTCGCCTGACACCTCCGATAGGCACAAGGATTCTTTAAAGGAAGGATGCGGGCTGCTTGCTATCAGTGTTCCAGCAATCGCCTCCGCGAAGGTGCTGGTTGGGCAGCTCGCTCCAGGTCTCATCCTCTTGGGTACAGTTGTTCGGAATTGGGATTCAAAGCCGAAGTGCTGTTCCGAAACAGCAAGTGCCAACACAACTGCTGTTCTAGCATGGGTGGAGTTCGCCCGAGAGCGAAGCTTGTGGGAACGTGGTCCATGTGCTTCCCACACCAGAAGAGGACCCCACCCTCCACCTGCAAGAGGGCTTGGAGCAGCCTGGGAACCCGCATGTGCAAGATGTAAGGATATGCCGGCGAGCGGTGTTTGTTTTTTCCAGCCCTCTTCTTTGTCCGGAGTGACGTCTTCAGAGTCTTCTAAACTGGGGTTACCATGCAAAATTGTCCTTGTGGTCCAGCAAAGGGTTGCACAGAGGTGAGAACGGGGGAGGCCTGGCCCCAGGTGCTAGGCCCTAGTGAGCACTCCTGCAGGCACTAGCCAAGTGAACAAGTTCTACCCTCAGCCAAACGGCAACCAAACGCAAAGTTTTTCTGCTGGTGCACCTTTGAAACAACCTCAGGCGCCAATGACGTGTCTGATTCACTTGTGCTTGCCTCAAGCCAGCGGACATTGGTGGTCGCAGCTTCCTGTCTTGCTAAGCTGCAGACCGGGAGGCTACTTTCGGGGGAATGTGGCTGAAAGTTAAGGCCGTGAGAGTCGAAGCCTGCATCTGAAGCCATGGAACTAAACACGACTGTCGGACCCGCAAGTCGCTGATTGCTCTTCCACGGAGCTCGCCCAGAGATGTCAAGGCCTCGTCGTCGGGAGGCAACGGGCGACAGGAGTGCCTTGATGCAGCTCTTGCAACGTCAAAAGATGCTTCTACCCCTCGTCTAGACGAAGCACAGGAGGAAGTACTCTGAACGGTGAAGAAGCAAGCCCGATTCTGAACTAACTAACGGTGCTTAGCGATAACGTTTGCGAGTTTCCGCTAAGACAGTGAAAGATCGCGATCTTGTCATCTTGCATCGGTTCCAAGCTCCGGGTTTAGGCTGTGGTTTGTCATGCTGGTTGTCAGTTGCAGAAGCAAACTTGCTTCCCCTAGTCCATCATGCCATGCAGAAGCCGTCTGCGCAAGAACACGGCAGACCAGTGGCCAAGTGCCCTCCCAAAGACCCTCGGCGCGGCCGCGCGCTGCGGCTTTCAAAGCGCGGCTGGTGGCGGCGGCCTCTCAGTGGTGCGTTTATACCCTGCACATCCCAGGGTTTCAGGTCTTGCCTCGCCGAAGCCGCCGCAGATCCAAATCCCGAAGAATGGGCACGTCAGCCTCTCACAGGAGCCCGAGGTCAGGTGGGCGAAGAGAGTAAAGCTCTGATCTTCCCTGCCTCCCTGCTCCCGCCACGTGGTCGAAGCTGTACTTTTCCTTTGCTCAGCACGGTGAGTTCGGAGGGCTACGCGGCTTGCCTGTGTTAGTTCCTTAAACGTCTCTGTTCCTGCAGACTCGGTGTGCAACACCTGAGCCCTAAGCTCGCTTTTGCCAGGTTGTACAAGGCCTTTGCGACTTGCTTCTCAAGAGACATGTCATTTCGCGGGCCCAAGATCGCGAAGTTTGAAAAACGAGTCATCTTCACCAGATTGTCGGCGCAGTGTCGCTATTTTCAACTGTATGCGCAACAACTGCTGATGCGCTAGGGTCCATGATCGAGCAATTGCGAAGTTGTCCTGGAGGCCGTACCGGAAAAATTGAAGCACTGGTGAAGGGTGGCGGTGGTGGTGTTGTCATGCAAATGGGTCGTTGCGTGTCCTCCGGCCGCTATCGAGGCTTCTTCTTCTGGTGCCGACCATAGCCATACCCTACACCTGTAGTTCTACACATGCAGGTACGACGACTGCGACAAGCAAAACTGTCTTTCCGGAACTGCGGCGCTAGAGGCCATGGGCCATTGCTGGATGATGAAGATGGTGTTGTTCCGCTTCTTTAGCTCCGTCCCCCTGCCTAGTCCTGCTCGGCTTAACGTGCCGAGTAGCCGGCTTTCCCTCTGCACCTCGCCTGCAAACGTAAAACCTTTGCAAAGCTTCGGATTTCAGTTTAGACTCCGTTGGAGCTTGGCTTTGGGCTTTGGGGTGAACTCCGCAGCGTTGGTTCTCTTACGTTCAGGCGGGCTTAGTATAGAGGCTTCTTGATTTTCTCCTGTCCGACCAGACTTATACAAAAGCTTGCTAAGAACTATCAAAAACTCACCGCAGCTGCAGCAGCCTTCGGATTCCAAATCTCCCACATTCGACCATCACTGTTAGACCCCAAACCGTGAACTCGCTGCAGCGCAAAACTAGAACAAAACCACACTCTGCCCGGCGGGTCACACCCCTGCCGCGCGCTCTTCGCGCCCACGGCCACTGGCCGGCGCCTGCACTGCACGGAATCAGGGCTCGTGAGTTGCAAGGGCGGCTGCAAGACGCAAGCAGTACCCGCCGACAGTGCTTCATTCACCGTGATGCACTAGCTGTGGTACATGGAGGCTTTAATTATGCAACCCTGAACCTTGCCAACCCAGAAGCTGTTCGGGAAGCTCACGGTTGTCATGTGGCTGTTTCGGGCTATATCCTCTGCAATCTTGAAGCACCGGCAGCATGGCAACTTCTTACATGCTTGTGACGAAGACTGTTGCAAGAGCAATTCTGCTCAAAAACCACTGAGCTTGAACCCTCAGATGATGACGCCCAGCAAGACTCGGAAAGTTGAAGATCGGGCAACCGCGCATCCAGGTTTTGCTTATTGACACCGTCGTCTCAGTTGACGTATTCACTAATGGTGGTGCCATAAGACCTCAAAGCACAAGGTCTGAAGCCCACAAGGCCATGAGGCCTACTAAACGGCCTAGGTCCGCGAGACTTGGCCTCCCAAACACGAGCCAAGGCCCGCAGGAACTTCCGGAAAAAGGCCTGGATTTCAAGTAAACATTACTAGACTTTCATGATTGTTATTGGATTTTTCATGGGATTTGCATATCTTTTCCAAACCTTAGTAGTGTGAAACGCTTTAACAGTCCATACAGTTAGTCGGGGATTATTGTTTTTTTTTTTGTGTGTGTGTGTGTTGCTGGGTATGCAGTAGTTAGAATGTCGGGATGTGTTGTTGGATTTTGTATGGGATTAACCTATGTTTCTAAGACGTTCCGGATTCCAGCGAAATCAAATCAAAATTATAATACTATATACAGTTTCCGGGAGAAGGCCTGCAAACAAGACTAATCCGATCCGCAGCTGAGGGCCTAGCACCTCCATCAGTTGCTATAAAGAATTGTGCCGAACTCGATGCAGTCGCAATCGTTTACAACTTTTTCGACCGAGTCAGGATGAGCGTTTGTAGTGCAGTTCCCGTCTAGCCGCCTTCCCGGCAGTCCAGGACGGCAGAAGCAGAAGAAACGGCTCCGACAGCGCTTCTGCCTGCGTGTGCGAAACTCGTAAGAAAGATGCGCAGGAGCTTCCTACATAGCCTCGACTGCAACTTCCACATCAACGGGCCACGCGAAAGACTGTGACCCAAAAACAACAGTGCCGTGCAGCAGGACATATCGGTTAGCAGTGAGATGGCATGATGCGGGAGTAAGGACCTTGGCGGCACGCTGCCGCTCGAGGAGGAAGTCCAATAGCCGGTTCTGCGAGCAGAAGGCAGGCTGAGCCCGGAGCCCGGGCTGGTCGGCAAGTGATTTTGGTCACACTGATTTGGTGAAGGGCCCAGGACGCGACTAAGGCTTCTGGAGCTCAAGAGCTCAGGGAATAGAAACGAAGCGCTAAGCTGGGTTGGATGTCGGATGCCTCCTATCACCCTTGCAAAAGCTCGCCCGGACAACGCATCGCTTGTGTGGTTGCATTCAGGCACGCACAAGAAGACGACCGAAAGCTGTCAAAGGGACAACTGCGAAGAAATCCAAGCCCCAGAGTCGCAACGCCGAAAGTTGCGATGATGATGCGGAACATTGCACTTTTCCGCCGCAGCCCGCAACATATCAAACGGCTCCAATTTTGGATCCTGGCCTCGGAGGCCACTGGAGTTTCAGAGAGGACTACGGCTTCGTGGCTTTCGGGTTTGCATGAAGCAACCTGGCTCCGAACCATGTCTTAGGGTCTTCGGCCCGAATGATTTAATTAATCCCGGGAGCTTCCCTGTGTATAGTTCGTCCAGTGACTTCCCCACGCCAGCTGCGAAGACGTTTGCAAATACGCAAAAAAAACTCCAAAGGCACATGAACATGGGAAGTTCACACCGTTGTTTCAATGCTGTGGCAGGAACCGTGTGAATCAGTTAGTCTCTACCGATGCAGCTATTTGCAGGTCCCTCCGAGAAACCGCTGCACGGAGAAGACACTTTGTCTGACCATGCAGCCGGCAGTTTGCTCTGCGAGGGCGTAGAGCATGTAGTGGTCCTTGGGTTCAACAAGACTCGGCCTTGCTGGAACGTCACTCATAAGCTCACGCGCAACCCTCCCTTCACTGAATGGGATTTGATAACTTGCTCCAGTGGAACACATGAACCTACCTCAGACAGATGATTGATGCCTCTGCCAAATGGTCACAACAAGATCACAGACAGCCTAACCTTTTGAAGCACACGTGTCTGCTTGCAATTGCGAAAGCAGATCAAGTGTCGGATGTTCCCCAAAGCTTCGAGCAACCATCGAACCAAAAGACGATTGGCTTCTCCCAGGGCGAAGAGAAGTCACAGAAAAGGCCCCACTCGGCCGAAAGGATGAACGATTTTCCTGGCCCTGACCAAGATGTTCAGCTTTACAGCACAGGGCGTGGCGGACCTTCTGTCTGCCAAGAAGCCGGTATCTGGACTTGAGACTCCACCCACCTGACAGACGGTTGTGCCTATGCAGTGGAGGTCGGTTTCAGAATACAGCGATATCGCTAAACTCCAGACACAGCACCTGAAGGTTGAGCAACAGAAGCATGTAGTGATCTGCATCGGACCACATGCACGTATGCTTGCATAAAAAAATATATACAAACACCTCTCTCTCTCTCTCTCTCTCTCTCTCTCTCTCGCTCTCTATGTATACACATATAGTATAAGTAGAGGTGTGTATATATATAGGACCATTTTTGTAACCCCCCCCAAAGCCCACGTTTGAAAGGAAAACACTGTCCACAGTGTGTTAAACAGCACATTTTCCAGCCATCGGGGGCAACATAGCTTCCAGAGGCTCATTTCCTTTTTAGACACAAGTAGTATGAAATAATTTATGAATGAACAAAGGTCACAGGTTTAGTGGCAGCTATTGCCAATTATATATTATTGCCACTAGTGCTACAGATACTTTTATTAATGCCACTGTTACACTGCTATTAGTAATTTTAGATAGTACTGTTAGTACTTGGTAACATGTGTGTGGCTTCTGGGCCAGGTGGATGGCTGCGAGGACATAAGCATGTTTGCTTCATGGCAATGCTTCCAGTTGACGCGCACCCTTGCATTGGAGGACGTTTCCGCAGAAGCGGGAGCATGCAAAACCTGGAAGACCAGGTCTTCAGGAGCGTAGGCAGCTTGTAGGCGCATATCTTGCCAAAACCCAAGCAAAAGTGGAAGCCTGTGGATAAGAAATTAGGCTTTCAAAACTTTGGTCATATGATGGGTGCAACGATTCCCACACTCCAACCAAAGGTCGCTACCTCGACAGTATTCATATTGTGCGGATCGGAGCTTGGCTCTCAAGAGACTGCTGCCGGCCTTCGTGTGCTGATTGACCTGGACCCTGTCCTTGAGGAATTTCCAACAGCGATCCACAATTTGGGTTCCAGACTTAACCTGGAGAGTCCTCTTTGTGCCAGGAACCTTATGTGAGACTAGCTGCACATACTTTGGGAGCTGCCACTGCATCTTGCCCTTCACTTTGACACGTTTCTTGCAGTGGATGACTCGGTCATGGAGTACGCCAGGCAGTTTGAGCTTGTAACTCTTCGCAGAGTCTGTGTGGAGAACAACTTTCCGATTAGCCAACAGCTGCTCAGCAATACCCTTCCACTCGATACGTCGCACAGCTCCGGGCCCAGGAGCTCGCTTGACTGTGAGCTTGGGTGTGAGCTTCCGCAAAACCAAGGTATGTGGGGGACCTCTTTGGATGATCCCGGCCCATTGCTCCCACAGGACTGGACAATTCTTGTCTTTGAGGAGGTGCTTGAAGTTGATGGATCGGGAGATGTCCCGCTTGTCAATGGTAGCTTCGTCTGCCTCGACATCCTGCCAGCCTTTACCATCGCCAAAAACAATCTCCTTCTCCTTTGCCTCCACATACTCCTTGCGAAGTCTGCATAGCTTCCGCTCCACGTCCTCGACCCCTTTGTGGTTCACCCCGAGGAGCATGTGAATGCTGGACTGCTTGACATTGTGGAGTTTAAGGAGCAACATGGCCGCTTGTTCCTGCAAGGACTTCTGTGCTGAACCGGTGCCTTCAGTGAAGAGAGGATGAAGGTGACGTGGGTTCATACGCTTGTGGCAGTTCCGATAGCTACACCTATGCTTGAGAGATCCGTCGTAGTAGGGCTGGAGCTTGATCAAGAGCTTGTCTGCCCTCAAGATGCGAATGATATCTGTGCCTGTAACCTTCAAGAGCTCAGGAAGGGTGCGCTTCCACTTGATCTGGTCCTTTCGCTGGCCACGGCTAGGCAGGGCAAGCTTGTCACGCGCATAGGGGATCTACTTCCAAAGCTTGGTCTTCCTGGCCGCAGGACGCTTCTGGACCATACGTTTCTTGCCCATCTTGGGTACGACCACCGACACGGACTTCCCCATGGATCACTAAGTGGCCCAGCAGCTAGCTCACAGACACCGAACTAAAACAAATGCTGGTGAAGCGGGACAGGGTGAAGTAGCAGTTGGTGCACAACTTTGTGTCAGTACATCACTGCAATGACAGTAAGAGGAAACTGCCAAGCTTAGCTGCCCCTTTTGTACTCAGACTGGCATTGCTTCGGTTATGAGCAAGAACTGTTCAGATGGTGACCTGTGCCTTTTGTACAAAGACGCTAAGGCATTGTTCTCACACCATGGCACCAAAACTTCCCATGAACAAGTGCACAGCTTGACCTTGAGGCTATTATGTCCTAAGCACTAGACCCCCAAACCCTAAACCCTACATCCTATACCCATAAGCCGAAAGTCGGATGCAACATCCCTGTGCTCTCCTGTCTTGCCTTTGTGTGGTTTTGTAATGCTCTAACCTGTAAGTGCATAAACGAAACCAGCAAAGAAGGCAGGACATGAGCAATCCAAGTGCTTAAGGTAGGGAAGGCCATAATGTGATGTGAGATTTTTGGTACTAGTGTCAGGCCATGAGAGGCTCAGATGTTCACTTGCTGCTGTTGTCTGCCTCTTCCTTGTCAATGATGTTGGCCAGCTCTTGGGAAAGGCCATCGAACTCTTGTGAGAGATCGGCCATGGGGTCATGAACGGAACCACATTGGGAAGCCACATCCATAGGGGAGCCTTGGGGCACATCATTTGCATGCTCAATGCCATCAGCAAGAAGAGGAATGCCATGTGCTGCACCATCTGATGGCCGCGCGGTGCCAGCACTTTCGGGCTCAATGTCCACGGAGACCTCGCTTTTCATCTCCAAAACAGCTGGCTCTGTGGCAGCTTGTTTGGTAGGTGGGGAATCCAAATCGATTACTCCAGGGAGTACTGAAGACAAAGCTCTGCGAAATGGGCGTGGCTCCTCCTTGATCGGCACCGCTTTGGGCATAGGAGACGATGCCGGAGAAGAATTTCTGGTAGCTGGGGCTGGGTGAGGGCTCCTTGGCGATGCTTGGGGCGGAGGAGAAGATTCCCAGAAAAGGCGACGCATAGCTGAATTGTCTACAGGAAGTCCTCATGCTGCATACGCAGTGTCGTGCCACCGGTGATGCCTTGATGTTGGTGCAGCCAAGGTGTGAACTCGAAGTCGTTACAGACAAAGATGCGCGTCTGGCCCTGCGCGAATTTGGCTGCCCCCCACCTCTCCTTTGTGAGCATAGTACAGCCTGCATCAGCAAACCCTTTCATCTTCCGGATTGGCTCGGAGGCGAGGCAACCATCATCATGAATGTCTGGCCTGTCCTTTCGGCCAGCCTGGCTCCGGAAGAAATCAAATTCGCTGGCTTCCCGAAAGGAGGCAGGGCTGGAGACGTGGAGAGCTCGCTTCCAGTACCTGGAGATAGACATTGCCAATATGCGAGCCAGCGGTGTTTTACCACTGCCTGGCCCACCAATGAAGCCAGTGGCATGGGTCTTGAGTTGCTTGAGCCCCCGGGCACGCGCCGCACAGCAAAGTCAAGCACTGAATAATCCACATCTGCAAAGGTGAAATGGAAGTCTTCCACAGGCAGGCCAGAACGCCATCGCTTTGCAATGCCCTGGGTGCTTTCTCCACAAGACCAGGAGGCCAGCTGTAGATGGGCGACTCTTGGTCAATGTTCAGGTTCTTTGTCATCCACTGGACCCTCTTCCATTCTGCGCCAAGTCTTCCGGATTCTTCCTCTATGAAGGCAAAGCCTTTGTTGACATCCTCTTCGCTGAGGGTGGCCATGTAGCCACCAGCCTTGGAACCATCAGCACGAGCTTGGTGACAAGGAAGAAGATGGGTCAGTGTGTATTGACGACATTGCCACCCACCAAGCTGCTCCAGGAACCACTGGGGAACCCCTTGCGGAAGTTCTGTGCATGGCCCTGCCATTTCAAGGTGTGGGGTGTTCCAAAGCAGAAAGACACTGCAGCAGCCCTACTCAACTTCAGGTCAGGGCTGCACATATGCTTGAGGATGGAAACATTTCCATTCTCTTGTGGGATGACAACGAACTGAGTGATGAGCTTGACCTCCATGTCACACTTCAAGCAAAAGGGCTCTGGCAACCGGTCCCTGCCCCAATGGCCACTGTTGATCACCAACTCAATGGCGGACTTGTCGGGGGGTGGCACATTTGTAATGATGTCGACTATGTGTTTCAGGCTGCCCACATCACCCTTGATCTCCTGCAAAGGAAGATCCAACAAGGAGATCCCACCAGGTGCTTGGTCTGACCAACCTGGATAGGGAAGTGGCTTAGACAAGTGCATTCCCCTTGTCGCGTCGATGCCTGCTTCAATGCAGATCTCACCGTCCCTACCGGCCATGCTGCTATCTAGCAATCTAGGCAATGGGGGCGCTATCACTCCAAGTCGATATTGAGAGGCGGGTAGCTGAGGCTGTAGCTCTTCATGCAGCTTGGCAGAGTGCAACAGTTGAGCTCCCGGTTCATAGTCCCGTCGGCTGCCCGGACTGGTGTGAGATATTGTTCTACTTTCTTTACCTTCTGGTGTAAAGCACTGTTGGCCAGTAGG